CTGCACCTCTGAATCCTCCTTCATGGAGGTTACAGGGAAAGTTGGAACAGCTAAAAATATCTTGGCAGATTTTGGAGGTTTTCTGATTGATCATTAAGGAGTTTTGAAACTCCTCCTTACAACCCTGGTCACTCCTTTCTCCCACTCCCTTCCCTTGAGTCAAGAAGGTATGTTAACCCCACTCATAAGAGAAGAGAGGAAGTGAGTTTCACCCTTTACCCCTCACTTTTGATTTCGCCCTCCCCAACCTGGGAAAGGAAGGAGGGGTGAGGGGCAGCAGCTACAGCATGGGCCCCACTGGCAATGGGCTTGGGCTCTAGAGCAACCTTTGCCTGAAGCATCACCCAGGTTCAGCACATCCTGCTGAACGTAATGAAGCTAGCCTCCAAACTTGGGTAAGTACACTCTTTTAAATTTGTAGTTTTAACTGTTAATGATGAGATGTTGATTCTCTGCGTGACGTAATTTAGAAGTGCATTTAACAAAACTGAAGTCACCTGATTGGTAATGGGTTTGTTTCAAATTTCAAATTGGTAAACTTTCTATATCAGTTATGTCAAGCAACTTTTCATAATTTGGTTACCGCTAAAATAATTTAGCTATTGTTGGTTATTGTTTTAATGTGTAAACCAGCCAAAAAGCTTGCTTGGGTTATGGATGGCTTGCTGAGAATTTGCAAGTGTATAGAAATCTCTAATGATTGGCTTTTTACACCAGGACAAATTTAAATCTGAGATGTAAATCCTGGAAAAGTTTTTCCTAAGCTGTGATTAGTGAAACTTGCTATTTGAGGTAAAAGCTCACAGGATTTTATTTTGAGGTGTCTGATGGATCATAATCCATCGATAAGTAATAATCCACCATCTGGAGAGATGCCACAAGCTACTCAGAGAAGGTGATACTGGTGAGCAGTCAACATTGGGAAAAGCTGAGAGGACAATTTTAGCCTCAGTCTAAGATGGGATCCTCCTGGCTCAGTTTCCTATTATGTTCCTTTGAAAAGGAATGTTACCCCCCTGGCTATTCCTCAGTCTGGCTATGAGGTGAATTTGATACTGCATGGTTGGAAAACTGAATTATTTGAATCTAAACAGAGCTAAGGATGTTTTATCCTGTCCTATCTGGGCCCTGCAGTTTCTTTTCTATTAGAATTGTCTTCCAGACTATAGGCCATTCACCCACAGTTGGTAGCAAACAGCAAGTTATCAGCCAAGGTCCCCACATCATTCCCTGGATGCAGCCTGTGCTTGGTACTAGTCCACCTCCTCTTTGGCACCCCCTTGAGGCAGAGACAGCTCTACCCCCCTTGCCAGCAGGAAGCAGTCTCAGAAGCTGAGACCTTCACCCCTTACAAAAAGAATTTGAGTCCTATTTGTTTGAGGGGGGATGATGAGAATGGGACATAGGCCCCAGAAAGGAAAAACTCCGGACTTTCCCACGAGGCCATGGCGTTCACCTGAGGCTATAATCCCATCAACTGGCCTTTCATTGTGGCTACACCCAATCTCCCAATTCTATTACCCTTAACCTAGCCTAGCCCTCCCTATGGCCCCCAACCATTTCCCACACTTAATCCTAGCTAGGCTCCATTGTCCAGGTCCCAGGAGTCCTGTTCACTCCAGCTTACTCACCACTCCCATCCAGATCTCCTTGGACCCCTCCTCCAGTCACCCCAAACTACTTGGCCGTTCCTAGATCCCTCCCACAGTCTTTCTGTATATAAGGTCCATCTTGTCTCCATTAAGATATTGGGATTCTTATAATCTAGCCATTGCTTAGATTCTTAAAATCTAGTCAATAGCTTACTAATGTTCAGACTCCTTAAGAGTCTGCCCAATATGATGGATGTTCTAAAAAACCTTGTCTCTGGCTGGGGGGAAAAAAAAAGGTTATCACTCAGCTTAATCACCAACTTTCTTCACTAGATTAGGCTCCAACCAAAATTCAAATCTGCCTTAAAAGAGCAAATATATTTGTGATCACTGAATGTATTCAAAAAGAATGTGACCAATAAAGCCTATATCAGATTGCTTGGTGAGGGGAGGAGAAAAAATTTGGTACTCAAAATCTTATAAAAGTGAATGCTGAAAACTAACTTTACATGTAATTGGAAAAAAATAAAATGCTATTGAGTGGAAAAATTTTAAAAAGACTGCACAAAAAAAAAAGAATGTGACTTAAGATATTTTCAAAAAAAGACTTTTAAAAATGTTTTGAATGGCAGCCCTACTTATGCTTATGTAAGTACATAACTTCACAAGGTAATAATTTTAAAGGATCAACACTCATTTAGATGTATAAATTCTGTTTATTTTTTTAAAATACATTAGTTTATCAATTTCCAGTCCTAACAGACCCAAGCTCCAGCTCTCAATTTTCAACTGCCTATAAGACATCTCCACTTAGATGTCCTACCATCACCTCCAATTCAACTTGCCTACAATTTAACTTAGCATTTTACAATTTATCCCTCTTGCCTATTTCTCTCACTAATTTACCATCCTAAAAACCTTAGACTCTTCCAGTATCTCCCTTTCTTTTGTCTCCCATAACTCAGTCATCACATCTTTCTGGGAAAAGATGCCATAAGATGCAGAAATTTAAACTTTCATCATTTTAGACATAATCATAAATAATCTTTTCCAGAAATAATCTCTATCGGGGCAGAGCCAAGATGGCAGAGTACAAGCCAGGACCCAGCTGAATTCTCCCACTTTTCTCTTCCAAACAACTTTAAAATAACACCTCAAATGAAATTTTCAAGTAGCAGAACCAACAAAAGGTCAAAGGGCAACATTAGGTCAAAGGGCAACATTCTTCTAGCCTAAGACAATTTAGGAGGTCCACAGTAGAGAGTGAATGCAGGCCTAGAGCATAGCAGGAGCACCAGCGGTGAGCTGTAGTGGTGGCTGCAACAGCAGTTTCTGGAATTCTCAGCCCAGAATACATTAGAGTTTCAGACAACTCATCAGAATATGACATGGGGACCCTTTGCTGGAACTGGGTGCAGCTGGTGCTGACTGGCAATTCTACTGCCCATACACAGTCCTGGGATGCAGTTCCAGGTTGGAGAGGCATGTTTGTAATCTGTCACAAGGGAGCAGAGGCCCTGGTCACAGTTCTAGGGACATGAGGAGAGCTACACCACTTGCAGCTGAAGGAGAACAGGGGCCCTTCCTGGGTTAAAAACCACAGCACAGCCCAGGACGCAGTAACCACACCTCTCCCAGAATCACACCACCTTGGAAGCACCAAAGACTTGCAGACTCCCAGAACTAGCTCTGAAAACAGCAACATAAAAAAGCCTGAAGCACAGTTCTTCCCCACCCCAAGATGAGCAGAGCCCAAATTTAAAATAAAGTTCACAGTGAAGAAATAGGCTAGGAAAACAAGCAAATAAAAAAAAAAAAGAACTTGACCATAAAAAGCTACTACAATGGCAGGAAAGACAGAAGACATAAACCTAGAAAAAGATAATAATATGAAAACAGCTACAAGCAAAGCCTCAAAGAAAAATGCTAACTGGAGCCATGTTCAACAAAAATTCCTGGGAAAATTAAACAGATGAGTGGCAGAGGAAAAATTAGGAAAAGAAATGAAGGTCATGATGAAAAATGCTATCCATATCCAGAAAAAAAACTGAGGGAATCTGAATGCAAATCAAAGCCTACTATTTTCCACTTAATTTTTTCATGGTTTTATTTTTCTTTGTCTCCATCTTCTTTGAAAACATGACCAAGGGGCAGGTAGGTGGCTCAATGGATAGAGCACCAGCCCTGAAGTCAGGAGGACCTGAGTTCAAATCCGGCCTCAGACCAAACACTTGATACTTACTAGCTGTGTGACCCTGGGCAAGTCACTTAACCCCAACTGCCTAAAAACAAACGAAAAAAAAGAAAAAAAAAAGAAAACATGACTAATATGGAAATATGTTTTGCAGGATAGCACATGTATAACCTATATCAAATTGCTTACCACCTCAGAAGGGGAAAGTGAGGGAAAGGGTGAGAAAATCTGTAACTCAAAATTTTTTTAAATGAACGTTAAAAATCATCTTTACTTGTGTGTTGAAAAAAAGAAATGAGAGTAATGCAAGAAAATTTTGAAAAGAGATTAACAGCATCATAAAAGAGGCACAAAAATATACTGAAGAAAGTAATACCTTAAAAAGTAGAAATAGCCTAATGGTAAAAGAAGTACAAAAATTCATTGAAGAACTTTTATTTTTGGTTAGGCAATGGGGTTAAGTGACTTGCCCAGGGTCACACAGGTAGTGAGTATTATGTGTCTGAGGTCAGATTTGAACTCAGGTCCTCCAGAACAGAGGGCCAGTGCTCTATTCAATGAGCCACCTAGCTGCCCCTGAAGAACTTCTTAAAAAGCAGAATTGGCCAAATGAAAAAAAAGGTACAAAAAAATCAGTGCAGAAAATTACGTTTTGCGTGATTTCACATATATAGTTGATATTATATTCTTTGCTTTCTCAGTGGGTGGGTAAAGGGTGGAAGGAAGAGAATCTAGAACTCAAAATTTAAAAAGAAAAGAATGTTAAAAATAATCATTTTTTAAAAGACGTTATCTTTCTTATGGGTGAAGAAATTGTTTTGTCATCAAGCCAATATTATCATCTTCCTAACAGATTACCTATCAGAAATGGCCACAATTCTGGCTTTGTTCATTTGATCACAAACACACTAACCATGATAACTGATTTATACACACAGCCAACAAAACAGGAAGTACACATGAGACAATAAGAAAGCCCAAATAAATATCTGATAGTATTCTCAGTAGTACAAGAAAATATGTAATGACATCTCCAGACATTAAGAAAAAAATAAAGGGCAAACAAGAAAAGAAACAAGATTTGTTACTGGGTTTTTTTTTTTAAGGATTAAATAGTTTCCCCAAATCCCTCTCAACAACACACTATTCTTAAATTATCAGGAACTTGCAAAAAATTATGAAAAAATTTGATGTCATGTTTAACTTGTACTTACGTGTGGTTTATCAAATTCAGAGATGTACAACTAAGACAAGCACGGTCTCCCAGACTACCTAAAACCAAAAACAAAATTAAAATTAAAATTAAAATTAAATCTCAACCACACCAAACTTACATGTATGTAAAAAGTCATTTAAATTTTTTAAAAGAAATATTTAGCGAACTATTGTAAAGAAATCACTGTACAAGTTCAAAAATACTCATTGTTTAGTTTAATTCCAATTGCACGTTTTCTGGTTTATTTCCTTTACACCACTTCTAGCAGACAGATTATAGTTAAAAACATTGTACAGTCTATTTGCATACCTAGTCCACCATGCATCGCTACACTGCCTTTTGGATCATCTGTAACTATGAGCTTTTAAAAACTGTATTCTTCCAAGATTTACAACCATAAAGCCTCACTGAGAAGACATTCATTTAAAAATGTGCTTTTGAACTGGGAGAGCAAGGAACAGTTTACCTATCAGATTTATGGAGAACAGAAGAATTCATGACCAAATAGGAGACAGAGAACATTACGAAAAGCAAAATGGGTAACTTTGATTACATTAAAATGAAAAGGTTTTGCAGAAACAAAGCCGATGCAACTAAGATTAGAAGGAAGGTAGGAAACTGGGAAAGAGTTTTTACAACCAGTCTCTCTGATAAAGGCCTCATTTCTAAAATATATAGAGAACTGAGTCAAATTTATAAGAATACAAGTCATTCCCCAATTGATAAATGATCAAAGGATATGAACCGGCAGTTCTCAGATGAAGAAATTAAAGCCATCTATAGTCATATGAAAAAATGCTCTAAATCACTATTGATTAGAGAAATGCCAATCAAAACAACTCTGAGGCACCACATCATACTCACCAGACTGGCCAACATGACAAAACAAGAAAAATGATAAACATTGGAGAAGATATAGGAAAACTGGAACACCAATGCATTGTTGGTGGAGTTGTGAAATGATCCAACCATTTTGGAGAGCAATTTGGAACTATGCCCAAAGGGCTATGAAAATGTGCATACCCTTTGACCCAGCAATAGCACTTCTAGGGCTGTATCCCAAAGAGATCATACAAATGGGGAAAAGGACCCACATGTACAAAAATATTTATAGCAGCTCTTTTCGTGGTGGCAAAGAAGTAGAAATTGAGAAGATGCCCATCAATTGGGAAATGGCTGAACAAGTTGTGGGATATGAATGTAATGGAATACTATTACGCCATAAGAAATGATGAACAGGCTGACTTCAGAAAAACCTGGAAAGACTTGTATGGACAGATGCTGAGTGAAGTGAGCAGAACCAGGAGAACCTCGTGCACAATAACAGCGACGTTGTGCAATGACTAATATTGATAAATTTAACCCTTCCCAGCAATAAAGGATCTAAGACATGTCCAAAGGCCTCGTGATGGAAAATGCTATCCACATCCAAAGAAAGAACTATGGAGTTTGAATGCAGATCGAATCATACTATTTGCTAATTTTTTTCTTCTGTTCAGTTTTGTTTCCTCTTTCTGGTGGTTCCTCCTACTGGTTCTAATTTTTACTTACAACATCACTAATCTGAAAATGTTTAATAAGAATGTATATATATAGCCTATATCAGATTGTGCGCCGTCTTGGGAATGGTTGGTAGGGAGAAAGGGGGAGAAAAATTTTAAACTCAAAAGCACATGGAAGTGATTGTTGATAAATCAAAATAAATTTATAAAAAATAAATTTTAAAAATTGGAATGAAGGCAAAAAAATAAAGAACAAACTATGGAGTTTGAATGCAGATCAAAGCATACTATTTGCTATTTTTTTTTTCTTCTGTTGAGTTTTGCTTCTCTTTCTGGTGGTTCCTCTTATTGGCTGTAATTCTTACTTACAACATCACTAATGTGAAAATATGTTTAATAGGAATGTATATGTATAGACTATATCAGATTGTGCGCCATCTTGGGGAGGGTGGTGAGGAGGAAGGGGGAGAAAAATTTTAAACTCAAAAGCATATGGAAGTGATTGTTGATAAATCAAAATAAGTTAATAAAAAAATATGCTTTTGTATCAGGGAATCCCTTTAAGATTGTTGAACAAACTATACAATTTTCTGGGCAGCTAGGTGGCACAGTGGATACAGCACTGGCCCTGGAGTCAGGAGTACCTGAGTTCCAATGCAGCCTCAGATCAAACACTTGACACTTACTAGCTGTGTGACCCTGAGCAAGTCACTTAACCTCAATTGCCTAAAAAAAAATAAAAAATAAAAAAACCTATACAATTTCCCAAATGCAAGCTAGCCTGTTCTCTTCTTCCCATTTAAATTGAGGTGCACTTCACTGTCCATCAGTAGTCCCTGTCCAATATATGTATGATGATGTATTATTTCAATGGACTTGCCATTCTCCAAGCTAGACTGTGGACAATAACAATCACTACTCTGTTCTTCACCTAACTGACTTTTTCCTTTGTGGATTATTAAGCCATCCTCTTTTTAAGTAAGCCTGGATCTCATTCATATTCAGCAGCTTGATGGAATCAGAAGAATGTTATTAGCAAATGAGAGCATCTAGAGGACCTCACCATCTTTAGGGAATCCTTCTTCTACTTGGACTTTGAACAGAACATTCTCCATGACAGTACTGAGCACCTTTGGCAAGCACACACTTTCCCTCATTTGCCTCAAATGACAATAATTTCTGTTTGAAAATATCTCTATTTGCAGTGACCAAGTAACTTTGTATGATCTTAACATATGCGAATTTAAGACTTCTTATTGGAAGAGAATCTTTAGATCTGCATTTTCTTCTAATGCTTGTCATAACAAACAGACAATAAGAACAAATGGCTCTTATATTTCCCTTCACTCTTCAATTAATTCTGAAGAAAAAAGTGTGATCCATTGTAGAAAACTGCTTACAAAAACCTGCCTGTTACCACCTCATATTTTCATCAAGGATACCACTAATAATTCTCAAAGATTTTAAAAAGATAAGAAAGTAGACCTATAAATTAGTGATTATTGATGTTCTCTTAATTACCTGGTTTTGTGAACAACTATGAAATTGTCTGATTTTCTCCATTATTCTGATTTTTCTCCTCTCCTCTAAAATTAAATGTAAAAAATGCCTGATTTGGAGTCAAAAAAAGTGAGTTCAGTTTTTTTTCCCTTATAACCCATGAGACCATGGGCAAATCACCTTAATCTCTAAAACTCAGTCTCCTCTCTTATAAAATGAGGAGGCAGGCAGATCTCTAAGATCCCTTTCATATTCAGGAGACAACCAGATCTTGGTAAAAGCCAAAAGTTGGAAAGAATAGGAAAGAAAGAGATTTAAGACAAAAGCATTTTTTTTAACCTATAGAGCATGCATTCCAGAGATCACAGCAGAAGGCATAGGTAGCTTTAGAGTGGGTATGGATGGGTTGGGTCAAGGACTATGGGAATAAGGTGACAAGCAATGTGTGTGTGGGGGGGGGTGTCAGAGTTTGTTAACCACTGAGAAATTACTTCAGGTAGATTATTAACATCCTCAGGGAGTTTGGCCTCACAATAAAGTAATCTAAATTAGGTTAACTGAGGCCCAGAATGACATTCCTTCACTTCCCTTAAGACAGGAGACTTAAAGATACAGCCTGTGAAAAGGAAAACCAATGGATTTGGAGTCAAGAAAGACCTGAACTTAAATGGCCTTGAACTAGTTACGTGACCACCAGCTTTCTGGGGTTTTTTCCTCATTTGCAAAATGGCAATAATACTTATAATACCTACCTCAAAGGGCTATTATGAGGATCAAAAAAACATAATAAAGCACTAAAATAACTACAAAATTTACTTGTTTTTATTAATCCAATAAATATTAGGGAGGCAGCATGGGTCAATGGTATAGAATACTGGCCTTCGAGTCGCAACAGCCTGCCTTTGACACACCTAACAGTTGTGTGACTCTATACAAATATATCACTTTATTTCTGGGACAGTAAAGCAATTCAGAGCATTACAGAAACTTGGTGACCTTAACCAGTGGATCTTCTACACTGATAAAATCACCCCATCTTTCACAAATGGATTAAGCAAATCAAAGCATTTCCAGTGGCTAAACTCAAGGATATAAGATAAAACATTCAGTTAAGTCAGAATTCTTGTTTGGGAGTCTAAAGCAAACAGCAAAAGACACAGATGACAGGTAAACTACAGGGGACAGAGAATGGAGCTCTAATTTCATTGGTATAGAGAACGTCTGGACTTTGTTCATGTTATAGTTGTAAAGGAACTTTGCAAAAAAGCTACCTGGGATGCCAGTAACTGGCCCCAACAATGGCAGTGAGTATGGGGGAAGGACACAAGCTGGTGGGCTCAAGGCAACAGCAGTAAAGAATAGACATCCCTGGAGTCCTGAAAGGAAGATGCAGCATCCTGGCTCCAGAAGAAGGCACCAGATCTCACATGCTGCATTTGTACACTGGCACTCATGTTGTCTCCATTAGAATTCGAGTTCCTTGGGGGCACTTTTTCCCCTTTCTTTGTATCCCTAGGGCCTACCCACAGGGCCTGGCAAGTAGTAACAAATACATGCTGCCTAACTGATTTATTAAACGCTGAAACACACTTCACAGTTCCACCGGCAGTGAAATTCTTCACAGAGCCTCTCCAACAACAAATTTTACCATCTTAGTTAATTTGATGAGTATAAGATCTTTCCCATTCTTCCCCCCAAAACTGCTTTTTCCTTCCCCCTTCTATTCTGTATGTAAAAAAGTAAGATCAAAATCACCCACTGCTCTTTAACTCGACACAGACATCAGGTGACAACACATCTGGATTTTCAATTAAACCTGAACAAGGCCTAGTCATCTCCCTAAAGTATGATCTGTTTGGACAAGAGTTTCCATCATACCCCATAAAGCTTATGTAAAACCATCAGGCTAATCAGAATCAGAATTGCATATCAGGAAAAAGGGAAGTATTCTGGTTAAACATCCTGAGAAGGAATCTTGAGGAGAAGAAGGGAGGAAAGAAACTTTGGTCCTGGTCTCTTCATTCCCCCTTGGCAAAGTCAAAAGACTTGAACTT